ATATATATATTCCATCAGAGTCTGTGAACACACGAGTTACCACAATGTCTATCGGTGAAGTGTTCGAAAGCCTAAAATCTTCAAACAAGGTCGGTGGAAATGACAATATCTTTACGGGTTTCGAATCACTATGCCACAGAACTTTCTGTTTTCACCTGCCATTTCCTCAGTCGTACGCTGAAGAGCCACATATCGTCAAAGGACGGAGGATGCCCGGAGTAGCATCCATAACCTAGCCCATTTCCGGTTCCATAAAATGCCGTCATATTTCACTCACTTCCTTCTTGCTGACGTTAGCTAATTTGGTGTGTGCCATCACACAGTCCTCGTTTGGCTCCAGTATGTTTGCTTACAAGCCTAAACGTTCAATCACGGGCGCTGTTGCTTGCTTTGCTCATCAAATTTCAAGAGCTCCGGATGATCATAAAAAATATGTTCACATTTGTTTCGTTTACTTTTGGTTCGCTTGACCGGACTTTGTTCCTCCAAAAGCTTCCAGGAACTGGTGTCTGTGGTCCGTTCTGTCACTTTTACGCCATTATTTCATTGAATGTAAGCACTACACACAGATTGGTGACAAAAGGTCGACATGATTGCGGCTGAGGACAATATGCCTGGAGTAATCGTTCCGTCGCCTTTTCACATTAACACCCCCTGATTCTTGACAACTCAAGCACTGTAATAGAATGTGTCCGCGATATTGCCGTCTGCGGCTGTTTCAACAGGATATTGGTGCTACGTGCTCTTCGTGTCGAAGCATTTCCCTCAATTCGAATTCAGGCAAGTGCGTCGACATTTTGTTTACACTTCGACACGGATGACTATTCTCCTCAATCATCATTAGCGGTTTCAACAAGTACCTTAAAGTCAAGTTGACCTCCGACCTGTCCATGTACGATCACGTAGAAGGCGTCTTTCTGGAGATTCGGAGACGTTTTTAGCAAATAAGTGTCTGCTCCGCACGTTCCCATCTTTGTAATCAAGTTTTTCATTTTTACAACTACCCTACCTATAACACTCTTCCGTTGATTTTTGTGGAGCGTTGAAATTTGATTTCATTGTCGTCAGACACTATATTGGAGTAGTGCCTGCCTTCGGTAACGTACCTTCTGATTTTTTCATTGAAATAATGATAAATCGATGTATGAAAGCTTTCTCCGGAATACGATTTTGCACGATCTTTTTCATCCCCTACGTACTGAGCTATGCACCCCTCGAAGAGCAGTGATGTACACCAGAACGTATGCGCACAAAATCCGGTAATTGGATAGTTGGTTCCACTCGATTCTTCACCCTTGCCTCTTAAGTGGGGGATGCTATCTATATGAAGCAGCTTGGCTTACACTCTATTCTTCTGGATGCATGCGTCCAAATTTTGTAATTTTTCCCACATAAGTTCGTAAGGATTTTGGCAGCAATGACAAATAAAGAATGCTTCTCATCCTGTCTTGTCTTTTCGTTTGTGTGTTCGGTGCATGACCGTCGTCGAAACTCTGGATCGAAAATTCGCTTTACCTATCCAGTTTTTTATGATTTACGCGTCGCGGGTCCTGCAGTTGTTGAATGGAGCCAGTTTTTGGTGCGTTCTAGTGTATTTTTCTTACCGATAAGCTTATACTGATGCAAAATTGCTTTCTTTCTTTACAGAACTTTTCCTGTCGGGTACTCGTCCACTGACGCGTCGTTGTTTCTGTCACTCATTACAATCAGTTCTCCATGCTGGTCGTATTCTTGGCTATTTTATCACATCTTTCGAGTACATTAACGTACTCGAGCTTTGAGAAAAGAGAACAATCTTTGGCGTTGCCGCATCACACATGTAAGCTTGTCAGTATATGTCAGCCGATAAGAGGAAAACAACACAGGATTGATGTGATTATCATTTACTGTAGTACAAATCTATTTGACATTCATGTGTGTGTTGTGCATATCGATCCAAAGATGTCATACTGTTTGCAAATCACTTCATCCGTTTACTTTTATGACGCGAATTACCGTTTGTTCGGTTTTGTGGACATGAAGTATTCTCACGAATTGAACTGCTATTCGTGGGATGCAAAAACAATATCGAACACTTTCACTTGGATGTTGGTCTCCACTAAGTACCACAGAAACACATCCTCATCATCCGCAGTTTTGCACAGAAACCGACTTCTAGTCCAAGGGTGAACACAGGTCGCCTGTGGGTTCAGCAGTAGGGTATTCTAAGATGGCAAAAAGATGCAGTCAAGCTTTCCAGCATAGATGAAGGTCATCCTTTGTTGTTCGGAGCCTCTGGNAAAAGATGCATCAAGCTTTCCAGCATAGATGAAGGTCATCCTTTGTTGTTCGGAGCCTCTGGTACGGAACTTCTATTCGCTTTTTCGTGCATATAGGTTAGAGCATAAATATTGGCTCACAACACTTTCCGCTTTTGTAGGTCACTCGTTCCACGTAGGAGTTAGCATGATTACCACTTCTCACAGAATGCTATCAAATGTCGGTACTATTCTTTCGGGTGCGACTAAGACTTGGTAACTATATAGCTCAGCTGCTTGGTACCCTGCGCTGACTTCATTGAACGCGGAGTTCCGGATAACGCACACTACCGATCACCGACTGTATGGTCTAACGGATTTTGTATCGCATCTTATTTCTTTGTGTTCTTATGCTTTCTATGTTTCCGGTTTCTTTATTCCGTCCTGTGGAGAAGTCTGTTGTATACGTTAAACGAGTTTCGCCTTCCTCGTTAATAGTTCTAAGGTATTTTTTTAGGTTTTGCACACTTTACACACGACCGATCCCGTTTAACTGGACACGGTTTCATTGTCGCACATCTTCTTGAGCTGGACGTATAATCATTCTTATCTGTAGAGTGTTTGCAATGTGCTCACCACCAACTAAACGCAGTAAGACTGTAACTTGCTTATATTAACGACGTCAGAAAGAGCTTATATCATATGCTAGCAAAGGAGGGCTACGTTGCCAAATTACCTTTAAGCTCCACCGAACTCCATTTACGTTATACTTTATTAAGAAACACGCATTTTCTGCCAAACCGTTTTGCACAAGGTCGAAAACAGTTCGGGAATTTCATGACACTGATTGAAGCGTAAAGGCTTCATGCAACTACTTTTGACAGGTTGACATCCAGCCTAAAGAACACACTTTCAACAGATGGGTGGGACCCTCTCAGTTTGCGGATTGTGAAATATACCATTTGTGTGACTGTTCCATCCGCTGAATCAATGTCACCGGTGATGACATTTTTTTAGTCAAGGTGTCGAAAGTTCACAGAAAAGTGGAGAAGTTCGAGCTCTACTACATGCATTCTGACAAAATTATAGGACTATTCATGTTTCTCGTATCTTCTCTCCTGATCTCTTGAATGTAATAATTTCAATAGAAAAATCAGTTGTTCAGCTGCAGCACTCTTTCGATACCTAGCTTCCATGCTAGTGGAAGGGGGCACGAGGGCTTCGATACTGTCAGATTACCCAAGTCCAGACATCAGCTTTGGAGATGCTGAGATTTCACCCTGTGTCGTTGTCCCTCACTCAAGGTTGTGGGTGACTCAGTCAAATTCTATAGCTGATTCATTTCCATGGTGACACCGCCCAATCTTGCGGCATCTTTTTGCAGGTCGTCAGTTTTTGGTGTGCGGAGAGTATTGAGGCGTTTTTTACTTTCAGCCAGGTCTGATGCCAATTTTAGAAAGCTCCTGTTGATTATTTGATGTCCTATGATTAAGTACAGTAACGTACCTCAATAAGACACCCATCTTAGGGACCACTCCACAAAAATCCCAAATCTCCTCACACTACCAACAATCTATAAGTAGCTCAGTGGAAGAATAAACTTCACCCGATGAGTGAAACTTCTATCTGAGAAGTCGTTGCTCGAGGAGCCAGTCAACACGTGTGACCGCGTGATGTGGATCCCGTGATTGAAGGATGAGCGGCGCTATATCCTGTCTAAGTGCGAGTTAATCACACTGCTGATCAGCCACTCGTGGCCGAACTTTTTACGGGTTACGTGAATACATGTCCCAAAACTCAATTCCAATCAGTTTATCCATCATACGCCTAACAGACATGATTATACATAAACAACTTAAAAAAAAGAATTTGAGATAAAACATTTTGACAGGTTGACATCCAGCCTAAAGAGCACACTTTCAACAGATGGGTGGGACCCTCNGAGCGCAAGCTGTATCTCGTAGTGTATTGACCAAGCATTAGCTTGCCATTCAAACAGATGATAATTCCGTTTCCCGGATTTCATTCTTTTCAACCCTCCGCGTACGTAATGCTCTCGGGTTGAGAATGGTGCTGCTCCCTCGGTCTTTATGTAAAAAAGGCTGTGCATCGGTCCGTGTTACCTCGTGTATATTTCGCTGAGACTATGTCTTCGTTGACGAATTCCGGAAGTAAACCCTTGCCCGTTATTTCTAACGTGTAACGCAAAGCACACACGCATTCGAACTCATGTCGTATTTCGGTCCGACTGATCACGGGTTACACAACTGTCCCTGGCGTCACTACCCGACAACGCCAACCTGGGACAAACTGGATCGGCTTGTTCACTCGGTAGTCCTCAGAATCCGTTGTCCGCATACAGGACTACATCAGCATGTTAAAAACATGAAGTCACGTGTCGGGATGAATAACGGAGTGCTATCCAGTGGGCAGACAAACACTTAGCGACACAATGTTCCTTTGAAAGGGAATTTTTGGCCTCGTGAGACTATATCTGCTGTTCTCTGTCTAGTTCACTGGTGTGTTAACTCATGAGAACTTCAACATCAAGCTCACAGGGGGGTCGATGTCATCTTCAAATACGGCTTATTCTTCACTGGGCGTTTTACCGTATCGGACCGAAGTTTAACTTCGTTGCTCATGCTGTGCGGAGCACAAGTAATATTTTGTCGGAAGGCAATGTGCGTATGCACGGTAGCATGTTGTTTGATTGAAATGTCTGCCCGTTGACGAGCGGTTTAGTCATTGAGTTCATCGTTTACTCCCTTCCTATATACGACCGACAAAAATTGCCACAATTGTGCAAAGTTCAGCGATCTTGAGAAAACCCTAGCAGGACGCATGGGCTGATCGCACGAAATCAGTTTACTTAATCATCTAGTGATTCTAAGTTTTCCCCAGTAAGACTATTGTACATAAGTCCCATCTGTGTGTCACTTCTGCTTCCTGAAGGCTCTCGGCTGATTGTTGACTTGATAGCGTCAATAAGTACTTATACGTTATTTTTCTCACGTTCAACCACAGCAATACCTGTGCCTGTATGACGACTTTTCTAATGCCACATTTCTTCTTCAGTTGGCTGGTTTTCTTACGGCAGTGCGGTATTCGAACCGGATCATGTACGGCTAACACAGGACGTACGCAGTCAGACTGGCGGTCTTCAGTGCACCGCCCCGATGATGTATCGTGATTGGGAGATTCACCTCACCTTTCATGTCCACAGTTCTGGAAAGGCTTTGGTGGGCGATGGCTTTGCTTTCTGGTACACAGAGCAACCTATCTCAATGGGCAGCGCTTTTGGAAGTCGTGAAGTGTTCAGAGGCCTGGGCATATTTTTCGACACGTATGCCAATCAAAACGGTGCTCACGCCCATGAACACCCGTACATCAGTGCTATGGTGAGTGATGGGAAAAATGCCTACGATCATGACAAAGATGGTACACTTACGGAGCTAGCGGGATGTTCAACTGACTTTCGGAATCATGAGCGCGCCAAGGCCATCATTCGGTTCGTCAGGGATCAACTTTCGGTAGGTTTCTCTGTTTAAGCAGTAAGATTCTTTGTTGTTCGTCTATAGGATTCCTGGTTGGATGGAACTGTAAAAACTGATTACTACCAAAGCGTTTGTTTTTGTCCTTAAGGCTAGTGCTGGTTGCCAGGCAACTGGCCAAATGACAGGAGCAATGGCTTTTATCGTCTCGAACCATCCAATTCGTACGAGCATAACACCGTCGTTCTGTGCATAGCAATGATTCACAAATGGATGGTGAGTATATGGCGTGTTCTAGCGATTGGTGTGATAGGGATGGATCTCTTATCGACCAGCTTTTTGTATTCCTTCCTCGCTATTGAAGGGTGAGCGTCTCTCAAAGTTTGTCCATTGCAGTTGTTCTTAAGGATCGAGCCAATCACGTAGCCACTATGCTTTTCTGAGAACAGCACTGTTCACAGTGAAGTATCTCTGAACTCACTTGCATGCTTGCTTTTCGCCTCCTCTTGCGGATGTTTAACTGTTGTTGTGCCTTACCAGTCTTCGAGAGTGCAGTGAAGCTCCATTTACGCGGCCGTTAGTATTTTCCATTACTGTGTTGTTGTTGTTTTACTCGCAGTATTGGTTTACAGTGGAACAGAGTAACCCTAGTTTATGTGCACCTATACTGTTTTTGTCATGAACACTGAATCACCTACAAAATTGAAAATACCAGTGACACATGGTAAAGTAATAGAGTACGCCTGCGGAGAACGTTAACCTTACTCTTTAAAGATTATGAGAAGTTCGAAAAGGATAAAGAATAAAATAGTTGTTCGGCAACGGAGATCAAAACTTGATATTCGTCAGTTTATCTTCACTCTAAAGTCTTGGGAGCACAATAAGCCGCTCGAAAGTAGTTTCAACGTGCATCGGAACAGCATACGTTTAAAGTGTCTCTAGGGCAATAAGGTCGTCTCTGGGTGCGAGATTAGGGTGGCTTGAGGGACATAAATATCCAGCATGCGCGGAGCACCGTGAATCGCTTTTCGGAATCTGAGCAACTCGGTCAGTTCTCCGGACACCCATTGAGTGTGCTGCATGCATACGCACATGTTCCATCTAAAGTTCGATGTACGAATGACTCCAGTCGTTACTTTCAATCCAGCCGGTGTTGCATCTCATTGGAACTGTCACGAGAGTGTAGTCGGGCAACTGGCACAAAGAGTGGACGACGAAGAAACACCTTTGGTGTTCACAGCATAGCGAAAAACCCGTGTGACTAGAGTAAACCACTAAGACAATCCCCGTCTGGCTAGTCCAGAAAAAATTGGACGACAGCTCGGCTAGTCAGTGCCTGGGTTAATAGAGCGGGAGCGAAAGTGGCGTCTGTTTCGCTGACTGAATATTTCAAGAATTTGTATCCTGTCCGAAAATGAGTGAACGCGAGATCGGTCCCGAAGGCTACTGGCTACAGATTATGCAGCTCCACAACAATGACAAAGCCGTGTGATGTACAATCTGTACTACCCTTTGTAGTGAGCTGCGAGCTTTTGAATTAGCACGGTTCGTTAGTGACTACCTGCATCATCAGAACCGTCATATAACAGTGTTTTGTGTTTTGTGGTTAAAAAGCCAACCGTAAACCGGGTTTGTATGTTGGACTACAGAGCAAATCATGATTTGCTGTCGCTCACCCGGATTTATCCTCGAGCCGGTACACTGAAATCACTGGCACCCATAATACAATAATCCATCACAGTGTAAATTTCTTGACCGAACTTGAATAATACAACTGAAGGATAGAATGAAGTAATGCCAGGAATTATCACTTTCTCAGTACTTGCACTTATTTAATTCATCGAGAAACATTGAATCGTACGGATGAATGTTCGTTTAATCGGTGTTTGGAGCGTTGATGGTATGCACGTGATCAACACTACTCCCAGATGGGGCAGACATTCAAGCAGAATAAGTGTGAATGGTCGCATCATGTGCAAAAGAATGGATGCAATCAGAAGCAGGAAAGAGGAGACCTTTGTAAACAAGAAGAGTCGTGTGTGCGTGTGTGTGGGGTGAACAACATCTGCGTAGACCTTGTGGATCCGAGACAGAGCACTTGCAAGGCGTGCTCAAGTCTAGCGGTTTGTCAGGAGTTTCCGAATTCAGTTTAACCAGTTGGGATAAAGCCTGTACACTAGCATCATAACAGTTAAGTCGTCATGTCACACCCAATAGGAAACTTCCAAACAACAAAGCATACCAATTCGGTTTCATCAAACGAGTCGATGTGTGACGTGTACACCAGTAGGTCACCAGTAGAGTGTTGGCGTCTGATCCCATACTGGTGATTTCTTGGAATGTTGTTGCCTTCTAGGAGCTGTCTGACCATGATTGGCTCCAATACTTTAGAGAAAATAGGAATGGTAGGGATAAAATGTAGTTGTTTGGATTGAGAGCTTTCTTAAGCTCAGTAGACTACTGAAGATACGAGACTTGAGACCAGATTTGGAGCACAGATACAGAACAAACTAGGGTAGATGCCATCTGGAAATGTTTAGAGATAATAGGCATTGGCGAGCAACTCTAGTTGAAATGTTAGACGGTAAAAGAAGGTTGGAACCGTTGGATGGATTCGGACGAGGGTTGTGGAAGTAATCTTAGATTACGAAACAAGACGTCGGATGTATATTTCGGTTTTGTTTCTAGAGGGCGAATTTAGGACTTCACTGGAGTCAGCAGTTGGAGGAACACAAATTCCAACTGCTTTCACAGTATTTCAGAAACCGGTTTTGGGTATGTGTACGGGACAACTAACTGATTTTGTGACTGACGAGCTTATCCATAGGCTTGTCGACAATGGCTGTAAATGAGTTAAGAGCAAACACAACCCGAACGAGATGCAAGGCCAGTGAAGTCGCCGGTTTTAGCACATTTGGTTTTCTCTTCGAACACCACGATTACGCAGCATTGGGCTATCCATGGGCAAAACGTCTCCAAAGTCTATAAAAAAAGATACAGAAAGGAGCATTTCATTCATATTAACACTCAGGGAGGTTTCAGCGGTAGTCTTGGGGAACATTCACCGTGTAAAGATGCGTGCCTACATTTTTATCCCTAATTTGGATGCACTCATAGTAGCAAGTAGTATGTTCGGCTACTAGTTTCCACAAAAGAGCTAGTCGGACAAACAACTGGCGCTCCTACTACTGCGGCAGAAAAATTGAACCAAGGCAAGCCAATGACATTAGGAACCGAACGACGTTTTTGGGGAGAACAACCTGAAAAAAGCAAGCTGTTTGCTATCTTGAACGACGTTGGTATATGCATAACCCGTGGGGGCAGATGATTTCGGCGGAACTGGCTGATTCAGCATCATATACAGTACGGGACCGGCTACACAGTTAGCATTCTTTATCTGGGACGTCCGGGTGCTCAACCCAGAGTTGCGTCATGTGATCTGCAAATGGTCATCTCAAGCTGTCATTTAGACATTAAACAGGGTATAATAAATCGGAAGGGTGGGAATATGTTCCAGGAAACCATCAGGTCGTAGGGAAAGCTTCCGCAAACGGCAATCAGCCATGGACATCTGAGGAATTTAGTGGAAGGTAGTGCATGTGGGACAGCTTTCCTGTGATTTTCACGGACCTATCTTGCTTTTGTTTTGCTCCTAGCAATTAGATCGAGGACAAAGATTAGCTAGATGCATCCACAGACTTCCCTTCATGCACTTCTTTGCACTGCCAATGCTCCGTTCGTTTTGATTGGTCAGTTCGCTACAGTGGTTTGAGTGCACTGAGTTCATTCCGTAAAGAACAGCTGCACCACACGCTGGGCTTTGTGCTTGAAACGAGTCCCTATACTTTGGGATCACTTTTATAATCGTTTCCACTTTTTCTAGCTAAAATTGTTTTATCCGGACTCTGAGAAGGAAGTTGAGTGCTTTTCAGTTGATGGAGTCCACTTGCCGATTGGTTACTACCTGGGAGTTTCGGCAGCAACCGGAGATCTTTCTGGTAAGTTTTCCCTGTGAATCACCTCAAAACTACTTGTACTTGCTACTGAAACGTATTTCTTCCCACTCCTGATTGGTGCGTTCTTGCTTTTCATGGCTTTGACTCTTCGCATTCTCCCAGTATCTGTCTAGTAGCTTTCCAGACTAGACTAGACTAGACTATACTATCTGGATACCCTGTCACGCGTAGTTGAAAATACTCTGCTTCAAGTTGCCCATTCAGATTGTACTGAACTCTTTCTATGGCTTTAAGAGTACACCTGTGTGTACCATAACGAGGCTTACCCGTGGCGCACCCAGTTCCATTTCTAAACTTCATGAGAGGAAGGGGCATCGTATGAAGGTCGATCTGGCTGAACCATTTGTCGTATCCCATCACACGACTGTGTGTGCACATTCAGTGGTAAGGTTCACTGCATACATAGATTAATGGAACTGACTGAGGCGAAACGCATTTGAGAGTGTCGCGGTTTAACTTGGCATTTAGTTTGAGTAGACTAGCCCCGGTAAGTGGCATGTGGTCTTATCAACACAGTGCAGCGCATTGTTATAACGCACTATAATTAATTCAAGCACTGGTGTCTTCCTGACGTCGCAGTGACTGCTGACCGAAACCCATGACGCTCTCGGCGGTTGTCACCTGTGTTCATTCACCTAATCGGTTTCTCTTACCTTTCAAATATTACAATGTCGACATCTGGATAGTTTGAATGACGAACAAACTACGGTATATGCGCTGCTTTGGCACGCTGACTCTCCCCAGCACGTACCTCTCACGAAGACTTCACTGTAATCAGTGTAACCCACAGACTGGAGCGGATGTTCTTACCTACCTAGTCAGATCATTACCGCTCTGATGATGACTGGAAACAGACTGATTTCGCGTGCATCATTAATCGATTGCATGCACGGTTTTTGTTGTTCCACTCTACTCTAAATGAATATAGATTATGTCTAAGCGGTACGAGTTAGAACGAAGGCCTTCTCAACCTTGATTAGTTATAACCTTGTCGGTCTATTTTTGTGTAAAACAGCTTCTGTTGCGGCACGCTTACCATAATCTGTGAAGCTACCTCCTGTTCCATACCAGCGACGTTTCCGTCCTCGGATGCCTTCCCATGCTTTACCTCCGAGATATGACTCTGCTCAAATTCTGGCTTTTTGAACTAATGCGACCTTTGTTGTCCGACTAATAATGATTGATGTGTGGTGTGTTGGGGAGTAGCCATGTCCTACATCCAGCCCGACTTTTCGGCAATCGATTACTGATAGCCAAGTCGTAGAATATGCTAGTCATCCTTGAGCTTTTTTGCATGATTCCACGATAACTCGCCAGAACTAACGACAAACCACCATCTATGTCAATAACCTTGATCAAGGAAACCTACGGCCCTGGGAATTCTTTCTCTCTGCTACTTCGCGATTGCTATTATCAATAGAATCCTACTGTTGAGTGCAATCTACTTCGTACCGCGTTTGCCGCTTTGGTGCATGAAGTCATCAATTCCAAATAAGAGGCTTCACGATTGTCGCTGTCAAACAGAAACATATTAGTAGCACTAATAATTTGGGTCATGGCAGTAGAAATAAGGGGAAAAATTCTTTTGCGAAGAACTATGGTGGTGTTGAGAAGGAAAACATATTCGTTATCTGGAAATATCTTGTCCTTAGAAAAGATGCCTCTGTGGGCCAAACATTTTCAGGAAACCAGTACTACAAATGTATGGTCAATAGCACTGTAACCACCGATACCGCTTGTTTTTTTCAAGAGTTTGACACGCTGTGCTGGGGTCATGGCAGTAGAAATAAGGGGAAAAATTCTTTTGCGAAGAACTATGGTGGTGTTGAGAAGGAAAACATATTCGTTATCTGGAAATATCTTGTCCTTAGAAAAGATGCCTCTGTGGGCCAAACATTTTCAGGAAACCAGTACTACAAATGTATGGTCAATAGCACTGTAACCACCGATACCGCTTGTTTTTTTCAAGAGTTTGACAACGCTGTGCTGCGTACTCCTGGCACCATTTCAGTTCTTTACTAGTTATTGGGTTTTCTTCTTGACCTAGGATATCGAATCGCATTCACAAATCGGTTGTGCAAACCGGGAGTTTATATTCGTCATATCATTGACTTTCGCCCATTTTTCATTGCCACTTCGTATCTTGACGTTTTTTCGTACGATTGAAAATGACTGAGTCTGCCGGACACATCAACGACAGTGTTTTTTGCGAAAAGTCAGCGCAATCCATTTTTACTGTTCCACCGTGCTCCACTTTTCAGATACTCACGACATTGTCTCTGTAAAAACCTTCGAAGTGGATGCAGAGCGAACGGTACGTGATGAAACGGTGTTCCCCATCTTTGTTTTTCCTCTTACTGCGATTTCCGATCTCACGGAGTACTGCTGAAGTGTTCATGCCTCCAGCATCGAATTTATGGGTTTATTCTATGTACGTTCGGTCGACCCAGATGAACTGATTACACGAACTCGCGATTCGGTCAGTTCGCGTGCACCAAACAGTTCATTTTTCCGAAACACTCTGTATCGAACTTCTCTAACTCATCGACTACTCAACCTATTTACTGTGCACACAACTTAATGATGCTTCGCCGTACGAATTTATCTGGTGTACTTGTTGGAATCACACAGACTAACAGGTATTTCTAAATATCTGCTCTGATCGTGTTCTGATGGAATGTCATTTTTCCATCTTGCTATTTATGGAAGGATGATAAGAGTCCATCACTAAGTATCCTAATGTAGAGGGTTGTGGGACCTATGAATCTACACTTGCATCACTTTCGGTTGAAGTTTCCTTGTCTTGGCTAAGAAAAGCTGGGAAACGCGGTGACCTTGGTACAGTCACCATACTGTACGGTACTATACTATACTTCACCATACAATACTCACTTATAGCACGCTACATAATATTGCAATTAGACTATTATACTATACCACTACACCGGCTATGCTATGCTGTACTACATCACACTATATCGTGCTGCCTCGATCAAGGCGATCCTGTCCTCGAGGTGTCAGAAAACAATTGTTGTAAATCCGGCGTTACAAGAACCTCTTGTAAGGTTGGCAAATCAGCCGTTCGGGGCGAGATGGACCAAGTGGACTGACCGGAAGGTCCGTGGTTCGAACCCGACCTCTGCCTCTCGACTTCCCCTGTCTAGGTTTGGACAACCTGGCAGTATCCCAGCCCTCGTGTCTCCTTCGTGCGGCACGGCAGCTAGGCACCGAAAGGGTGCTACAGCTGAACGATTTTAAATCAGCTATCGTGGGGTAACCTTATGTCGATGACCAATGTTGTCTTTTTTAGGGCACCCTTGTCATCTATGAAAAAATTCACGTTGGCTACCCGTAGTTCCTCTAATTGCACTAAACATTCTGGTATCCTGTTAGGATACTAGACAGTACGAGTTTCTACCATGTTTTACGGTTTGGATTCCAGTGTGCTGATGAGTACTTTGCACTTTCGCTGACCTCAGTATCCGATTTGGATCACCCATACTGATGCGTGACCGCAGAAAAGTTCCGTGAACTTATTGTGAGCAGTACAAAACCATTCTGTCCTTTTTCCTCGTCTCGTATGATTTACTAAACTTAAGTTATCCTTCTATAACACGGTTGCAAAAATGCGCTCCGGATAGTGCTTATTACAACCCTAACTGGGTTTGTCAAAGTAATAAAAGTTCTTTTGGGGGCGCGACACCGGCATTGTGATATCTTACTGGTATGTTCTCTGGTCAAACTATCTCGTAGCCAGCCCCGGAATAGTGTATAGATAGAACTGGGATCTCCAAATTAGACTTCTTCTTGGTACAGCACGTGTTTTTACTGTAATAAGTAAGCCGACCAATCCCGTTGTCGGTTTAGTTTTTGGGGACAGTTATTATTTATTCGCATATGTCAGACTCCGGCATCGTGTGGTTCCTCTACTTGTGCTTCTTGGCAGTTTTTCTTGATGGCAGTTCATCCACCTGGATGCAAAACTTTATCCTGATGTCTCCCTGTCTCCCATACCTATTTTAGCCCGAGGAACTGAGCATCGATGCGGCGCAAATCGAACCCTCTTCTGGACATGCAGCCGCACCACGGCGTAAGTCACTATCCCATCCGGTCGGTTCTGACACTGACAGTTCAACAGATGGTTTGCAGTTGTTTGAACTTAGAACTATGTATCCCGACATATACGTCCCCGTTTTTGTGTTGTTGGTCCAAGTTTGTCTATGAGCGATGCGCTCTGGACTGTATCACAAACTCCCTATAAAACCGCCTATAGCTGACCGAAAATTGGGAGTCGTGTAATTTACGTAAATTAATGCAGAATAGCATGATGGGTTCTGTACAATGTTCTCACGCTTATGTGGTTTGGTACGAGTAGGTAGCCAACAAGGTGCTCAATCTTCGCTGTACCACCTTTTCGAACATTTAATTCATATTACACTTCACTCAAAGAGGCTTTCATTTGAATGAACGAACCTTGAAACACAGTGAGCCACAGATTGGTCATCGTTCTTTGAACAGTGATAATCTTTGCACGTGTTTTGCTCTTCACTAACACTAATATATCGGGGGAGGCAATGTTTTGCTGGATCCACTTTTGGATAGGTCTGTTATCTCACCTCAGCCTAACATTAGTCGTGACTCGTTGATCATCACGACCCCATCAGCACCAGTTTACTCCGTTTATGGCTCCAGCAAACTCCATTTAATCCAATACTGGCACAGCACTCACTGTAGCTACAGTTCCAACATCGTTGTGGTGTGTTAATCTGTTCTGAAAACCACATAAACTATTTAGTATGACATCCGTGACTTATCACGTAATGATGATGACTCGAACAGTGACGTTTTCTGACTTCCTAAATAGCTGTAGTTCTGCGTTGGCACCACCCCACGTCCATACATTTCTACCCACACTCTTGTCTGGCCGACACTCTCGATGAGCGATATGCCATTGCGTCATAAGTGATCATTGATATTTCATTGGAAACATTAAGTCAAGTTAACGAAGCCTGGTGCACCTTGTTTACTGATAGCAACCTCACCAAACATGCGATGATTTTATAGCTGTTGGCATATGGTCCTGCTCATGAAGAGCACTCATAAGGTACAATTCTGGGAATGAACATATTGCACATTTCGAGAATGGATCAACTTTTAGGAGGGGGGACGCTGTTGTGGTTATGCAAAATGTGATCTGTTTCTACACATTTCTTCCATCTGTGCATCATATTGCACTTCGCTTCAGTTCAGTGTACTTTGACAAAATCATCGAAGGATTGATCTAAGACGTTCATTATATCGTCAGGGTTCTTACGCAGAGGCATACATAGCCGACTATTTCATGAACACCGACCTAGGGCGCTTGTAACACGCGTATTTCCTATCAGACTTTCTGTTACACGTAAATTTCTCTTGGTAGACTCGCTTGATAGAATGCATGTGCCTTATATCATACATTTTTGTCACAGCTCGTGTACCGGACGATCCATCCCCCTCCCGTCTTATGCGTTGGATTGGAAAGGCCTTCTTGCTGCTTTCCATATTGGGAGTTCTCGGAACTTGTGGTTATTTTGGCTATCGACACTACACTGGTGGGCGACGACATGTGAAGCGCCTCTACTAAAGATTTCATCCAAATTCCCCGACAGAACCGTGTCTAATCTGAACGTGTAAACAGGTTTATTTTCCTCAGGTGGACGTTGTTATTCATTCTTGTGTATCTACGGGATACGGAGATTTTTTTACTTCATTCCTATTATGTTCTTGAATTTCTTTCTATAACGCACAACGAGAAGACTGTGGTTGTCTTCGATTCGCGCCGTTTGGTTCCTCTTCGATTCTTTTCCGTCTTCTTTTCTGATACTCTAGACGAAATGAAAACACCCTCACACTGCGCACGTACGCATCTGTGTGTACGCGCTTTTGTTAGCGAGAAAATATAGGTTGACTTGGTGTAATCTTTTTTGAAATGTGTTTGGGAATCGGTTCATTCCTCTCCTTACAGAATTCCCCATTACTTGTTTTGCGTTCCCATTTCTACTCAGCAACATTCCGTAGACAACTGGGTGGGGTTATTTTGGTCTTTTTAGCTGGAGGCTTATAGGGTTTTCTCATGAAGTATACTGCTGACATGATATTTACAGTTCACTTGGCACTGCTACCATTGTCTTCGTTAGTATCATGAATGTTCCTGCAGGCTTCCATGTGCCAGTCGAACTTTTGAATAAACCTTATTCTCCATCGCGATATTGTTTGGTCATCGTGATCACGTTAGGTCATGCTTATTTATGTTCTTGTTAGGTGGTAGCGCACGGGAATATCACGAGCAAATACCCAAGTACAGAGCCTGAAGCGATGAAGTCAGTAGCTCACGGGAATCACGACCATCAGCTCTACTGGACAGTCTGTCAGCTCAACGGCTTATCTTCGTATCCTTGACAGTTGGACCAGACGATCAGTTGTTTTTTATAGTACTTAGCATTCGATAGAAAGAATGAACTCTAATCAAGCTGTTGACGCTTGTCCGCATGCGAACAATTCACAGGGTGACGAACCTCAGCCGGCTTAATAACAACCAAGCAAACGCACCCATCAGCGCACTGAAGATGTCTCCTCGAATGGTAACGAAATGTCTACAAATCTGTTGCCAAGCTCGGCGACAGACTAACAGCCAATTACCAATGATGTTTACCGTCTTTTGTATGGTTGTTGCTCCGCACAGCTGTTACATCGGAGTTGGTGAACACGGTAGCTGTTTATGTTACTCTGTAGACCTAAATCTTCGATTCCGTAGAACAATGCTTTTAGGTATGTGGCACAATAGCTTCGGATGTGAATACATTTTATTTTGAAGTGCTGTATCGCTCCGTTCTTTGCTGGACACTACCTTGTGATTGACTGACTTGACATCCGCTATCTTGGGATCCTTTTCGATTTCACGTTGGATCAATGTCCGTTCACCCCACTCCTGTTGAATAAGAAGTGTTGGGTTAATCACCAGGATCCGTTGCCACGTTCTTTCTCTAACTCATTCCGCTAGTTTGTGTTTTCCAAGACGAAATCAAACTTTTTTTCGCTAATCTTTCGCCTATGTATCAGTTCCCATTCATTGTTAAGCCATACAATGGTCATTGTTCTGTTCGCTGAACTGGGCAATTTGGTTGCAAACGTTTCATCACTACTCGAGATAACATAATCAGTGCTTTGTCAAGGAGCGTAGTGGTGTGTAGCGATGGGTTGGTTGTTGGTGATGAAACGTTTGCAATCAAATTGCCCAGCTCAGTAAACTAACCAACGACCATTTACGCTAACTGAGCTACCAACATTTTCCTCCATAGAGTCACACAGTGTTGTTCATATCGGCATACAGTATAAATGTCCGACCGTAATTACCTTCGCCTTGTTTCCTCATGATAGACGTTTGTGAAACCGCGCCCTTGGGTTATTAGGATAGGTAGATTTTACTGGCCGTAACTGCCAGTCGACTGGTTTTAGTGTCTCCTCTGTTAGATTCATAGGTTTACTACCGAGACAAGCTAGTGTGTATGCTATTAAACAACTGTCAAATAAATCTCTCGAAAGAATGTGGTCGCAAGCAGATTTTGTAGGTCGATTTTGTTTTGTTAACTACGTTGGTGGAGGCCAGGTCAACTCACCCACGGCTTAGTACAGGAGCCAATGTGCTGTTTAATCTTGTGTGTACGCCCACCGAAGCTCCGGTAAAACCGCTGAGCCCGGTCAATGTTCGTTGCAACGTTTTTCAAACCAAAAAATGGCGCAAGTTTCTAGAGTTAAAAACCACAAAAGTATTTGATTCAAAGATTACTTGCCACGTATAACAGACCGTATGATCTCAATTTAAGCCAGTGATAGCTTATTGAAGTCACACCGCGCTTCCCTGTTTTCATTGAAATAACTGGCATCTTTTGAATTTTAATTCAATAACAGATGACCCAATTGGAAAACTACCAAATAGCTAATCTTCATTCAGTTTTGAATCTGTCGGAAACGGTTACGCGATTACTGACCCTAAAAGCTACTAGGTCTTGGTGACCCACTTGGTTACCGTTTTCTTAGGTGTGCTGTGGGCCATCTGGCACCCGTTAGGCAGCTAGTTAACATGCCAGTCGACAACTATATATATATATATATATATATATAAACAACAA